CAGCGGCGACTCCGCGCGCCGCAGCCCCTTCTAGAGGCTCTGGAGACAACCGTTGCTATGCAAATCACAATGGCCGTAGCGCACACAGCCGCGGGGGGGCCCAGCGGCGACTCCGCGCGCCGCAGCCCCTTCTAGAGGCTCTGGAGAGAACCGTTGCTACGCAAATCACAATGGCAGTAGCGCACACAGGCTCTGGGAGTGTGAGTGAGTGAGTGAGTGAGTGGAGTGAGTGAGTGGAGTGAGTGAGTGGAGTGAGTGGAGTGAGTGAGTGAGTGAGTGAGTGAGTGAGTGGATGAGTGGATGAGTGGAGTGAGTGGAGTGAGTGAGTGGAGTGAGTGAGTGAGTGAGTGAGTGAGTGAGTGCGTGAGTGAGTGAGTGAGTGAGTGTGTGAGATGTGAGAGGAGGCGAGGAGGAGGACGAGGAGGACGAGGAGTCGGGCGGGATGGCAGCCAAAAAACTAGAACCCCACACAGAGATGTGGGGAATAACAATGAGTTGCCCGTGCGCGCTTTCGAGACAGGTTGCTGGTGGTGGGTGTTGGTGCTGGTGCTGGTGCTGTGCGCTGGCCGTGCACGTGGTGGAGACAGGTTGCTGGTGCCGGTGCTGGTGCTGGGTGCCGGGTGCCGGTGCTGGTGCTGTGAGCTGGCTGTGCACCAGGTGGAGAGAGGTTGCTGGTGCCAATGCTGGCCAATGCTGGCGCTGTGACCTGGCTGTGCATGTGGTGGAGACAGGGTGCCTGTGCCGGGTGCTGGGCGTGGGCCGGCACCCTGTCTCGAAAGCACGCGCGGCCAGCTCATTGTCATTTGAAATAGTAAGAACTGCATGGCCGCGCGTCGCTATTTGGGTAACAAAAAAATCCTCTCCGCCAGCGCACAGCCAGCGCCCAGCACCACCTCCCGGCACCGCCACCCGGCACCAGCGCCGGGACCGGCACCCTGTCTCCAGCTGAGCGCCGGCGCCGGGCGCTGGTGGTGGGCGCTGTGAGCTGGCTGCGCGCGTGGTGCTGGGCGCTGTGAGCTTGCTGCGCGCGTGGTGGAGACACGGTGCCGGCGCTGGGCGCTGACAGTGCGGGTGGTGGAGACAGCGGGCGCCAGCGCCGGGCGTGCGCGTGGTGGGCGCTGGCTGTGCGAGTGTTGGAAACAGGGTGCCAGCACCTGGGCGCCGGGCGCTGGTGCTGGGCGCTGGGTATACCAGTGCTGGGCGCTGGTGCTGAACGCCGTGAGCAGGCGCGCTGGTGCTCGGTGCTGGCGCCCGCTTCTGACAGTGAAGTGATAACAACCGCCGCTTCTGACAGTGAAGGGTAACAAACCGCCGCTTGCCGCAGTGAAGGGCAACCGAGCGCCGCTTCTGACAATGAAGTGCCAGCAGTCATGGGCCGGATGAACTTATGCGCGCAACATCATACGTCATACGGTTTGTCGCTTGAGTGTTATTTGTCTTTTAGCGCTGTGGGGTATTTAGACTCTTCAGGTTCTGTTTTGGCCGACAGCGGTCAAGGGCTGTACTGTTTGCACGCATACTTTTGCACGATAATGTTCTATGCGCAACGTCAGGCTCTCAACCGACCATTGTTTCCGCATACTTTTGCGTGCGTAAACTTATACGCGCAAGATCATACGGCGATATATCGTTCTGCAGATCGTCGCCTCAAGCATGCTACAAAGTCAATAGTGGCGCTGGATACTGCTTGGCCTTGGGCCAATGACACTTATGGGCTTTGCTGTAACGTTTGTGCGCATAAACGTATACGCGCAAGATCATACGTTGTTATTCCCCACAGGGGTTCTTGCTGCAAATAAGAATGAGCTGGGTGCGCGCGCCTTCGAAAGGGTGTCGGCGCTGGCGCTGGTGTTGTGGTCCTGGGCGCGGGTGCTGTGAGCTGGCTGAGCGCGCGCTTAAAACGGGCGACGGCGCTGGTCGGGCGCTGGCGCCGCCGCCGCTGCCGGTGTTGTCAGCTGGCAAAGCGCACCGGCGCTGGTGTCAGCTGATTGTGCGCGCTGTGGAGGCGCCGTAAGCTGGCTGCGCAGGCTGCGTACATTCTTGTTCCATCCAGTGGCGTGTCAACAGGTCGTGGGATTCTGCCTAGCTATCTGGGCCTATATGGTGTAATTTGTGGGTTCCCAGGTTCCCAGGCCCACTGAGTTATTTTTGACCCGCTTTACCATTGGTTTTGTACGGATGGGCGCTGTTCCTCAAAGAAACAGCCATGAGCCTGAACTGCTGGACCCGGTGCTTGAGCTTGATGAGGAACTGCTTGCTCTGCAAATTTCTTAAGCAGTTTTGGGAGTAGGATACAAGAAAGGATCAAAGATCTTCAGTCTGATTATGGACCCTGCCTTGTGGCTGTCACCTGCAAGAACGTCGCAAGTCATCTCAATCTCTGTAAATGTCTCACTATGCAATACAATGTCACTGTGCACCACCGAACCTGAGGTACATCTTGCCCCCTGGTCCCCCAAGCCTGGCTGAGAGAAACTAAAACACCATTGAAGTGCTCTCAGAAAAATATGAGAAAAATGTTCCTGCAGTCCTGAAACGACAAAAGGACGTGAAAGAAGATTTAAAACACGTTTGGGACTCTCGGATCGGCAGTTCAAATGTCAGTCTCAATTGCCTGCGGGTGCTCAGAACGAGGAAGGTTGACACTTTGAATGCCACCAGCTCTCATTGCTCGATGGGTCAACCTGCTACATCACAAGGTTTTTAGTTCAGTATATGAATGATGAGTTTCAAGGAAAATGATGCTGAATTTATTGAAATGTATTTGTTGACGCGCGCAAAAATGTCACCTTGCAAACAACATAGCAGAAGACAGAACAACTTCAACAGGGCGCATCACGCTCACGCCTCTCCAGTTTGTCTGCAGCTTTCATATATCTTTGGTGTCCAGAGCTTGAGAGGAAGTCAATAACCTGAGACAGATGAAACAAGATGCGAAGGTAGCAGAGCCGGCGCATGAAGCTCGGCAGGACAAAGAACACGAAGTCGTTGACTGAACGACGAAGCGGCTGCAGCACGAGAGCGAATAGTCTGGGGCCCAAACATGAGTCCAACATGTCCAAATCCAAGTGCACAGCGTGAACTTCTCAAGGGGGACAACGCGCTCTGGGCGAGTGACTTCTGGCGACTGCAACCCGATCCGCCGCGCGCCACCTTGATTTCTTGCGCCCCTACCCTCTATGGAGCTGCAGTGGAAGTTGGCGCGCCATCACTTTCACTCGCCTTGCCGGCAAACAAGCACCGTGTCGTTCAGCTTGGCGCTGAACGCTGATCCATCGCTTCGTTCTGCGCCTGCAGGGTCAGGTTGGCGGCGCGACGAGTTTCAGCTGCTGCCTTCTTCGATTCTTGAGCTCGCGCTTCAGCTCGGCTCTAAGCCTAACAGTGTAACAGGATCTCATCTGGCATCTCAGCATCTCCCCATCTTGCCTCGCTACCACCATTGTCAAGACTAAAATTGCGATTCAGCAGCTTGAGCAGCGCGAGCACGGCCACAGTAGACTTCCCACAAAAGCCTTTTATTGTTTTCAACTGATCCATAGTGCAAAGAGCCTTGACCTGGGCCGTTGATGCGCGATGCCGATTTTTTGGCGCAGATTCTCGGCGCCTCCAGCCACACCCTGGAGTTCTACGCTGACGCGCAAAGCGCCCTGCCAACGTGCCCCTCTTTGCTGCAAGGAAGGCTTGTCTCATGAATGGGAACGCCGCATCAACTCCACATCTTTTTGGCGCAGGGGCATTCTGCCCTTGACTTGGAGCAGGCGTAGTAAAGGAGAGCCGAGACTCCAAGGAGTAGCCGTTTGGGCAGAATTGAAGCCTGTGAGCGCCACCAATCTCAAGTTTTCTACCAACGGGCGACGCGGCTTGGCCAGCAAGGCGACAAGTCACCGTTGGCCTCAAAATTCCTTGAGTTGACTGAGGGCCCCGCGACATCACCCAACTGTCGGCCAACCTGAACATCTGGTTCGGGAAAAGTTGAAACGCCCACGCCCGCCCGAATACGTAAACGCGAGAGAATTCAAGACTATCAATGGACGCACAAAGCGAATAACGCAGCCGACGAAGTAGCCAGTTCTTTCGCGGATCAACTTGCCGCAGAACTTGAGCGCAAAGAAACTGACGTTGTCCGCTCGCTTCTGGCTATGCCATCCGCAAGCCCCTACAAGTCCAGCAGGCCCAAAGCAGCCACTAAGAGTAAGCTCACCGCCGCCCCCGAATTTTTTCCAGTCCATGTCACACTGCGCTTGCGAGCCCCTGTATTTTTCCAGCAGCGTGGCTTTCCTTGTTCCTGTGGCGCATCCCTCCCACAATTAGAGTTGGCAGTCTGGTCTAACAGCCGCGCCTGCGCCAGAGCCCTTATAGGGCAGATGGTTCCAAGTGTGTTGCGTCGGAAAAAAGTGGTGAGGTGGTGAGGTGAGTGTCGGGTAGAGCAAGAATCGCGCTTTTGCATGATTTGCTTAAGCGCCGCGCAACACGCTCCTTATAGCGGTTTCGACTTCCATGACCACCTGCGTCCTGCTGTCAAAATGACCCATGAGTCCACCGGAATTGAGAAAAGCAACCTTGAGGTTGGCGTTAGCGTTGCCATTCAGAGTGTCATCAAGAAAGCGCCAAAGCAAACTGCGCGTGTATTTTGCCAAAAAAACAGCGCGAACGCACGCCTCAGGTACAAAAAGGCTCAAGCCGACGCTGCAAACAACTTGGCGGGCGCAAGTTATTCTACGGCAAGCGAGCGACGCCCTCAGAAAGAACATGAATCCTCTTCATGGCCCCTTTCCGTCGCCTAGGGGGCGCATGACTTTCCGGCGGGTCTGCTCTAGTCCTTTCTTTGCTGGTAAGAAGGCCACGGGGCCTTCTCCGGAATCTTAAAGTTCTTGAACGCCAAATGACGCGGTGACAGCATTGCGCCATATGGCACCAACCAATGAAGGGATGTTGGTGGCTTTGAATCTGCCACATGTGGCGCTCACCCAACCCATTGTCTGCGCAAAACTTCTCAAGCGCTTCTTCACTGGCAAAACGCAATCTACACCTGGGCCCCTTGCTGGTTCTCTGCAGCCCCGAAAGAGTGATTGGCATCTCGCAAGTGGATTGTTTCCTCGCGCGTACACATGTCTGCCAACCGGTGAAAGGCATATTGATCTGCCCTGGGCCCTGTACTGTGCAGCATAAGAAAGATGCGATCATTTCTGTGAATTCTGCGCCACTGTGTCCTGCGCCACAATTGTAGCAGCGCCATCTTCTCGGGCATTACAGCCAAGAGAAGGTGCTCATTGAAGAGCTGGCGAAACCTGTTGACCACAACATCTTTTAGAAAGGGGCGCCTGCCCAAATGTCAAAACGCACAACCACTTTGAGCATGGTTCTGGGTGCGGCCACGGACCAAAAAACCTGTGTGGCAACTGGCAACTGGCTTGCCGTAGAACAGAACGTCCGGTAGTTGATCTTCATGAACTATTGCTTGGTGAGCAAACTCGAGCGTCCCAGCGTCCCGCTCATCCTGTAAAAACAACGGAGTGAAGCTATATATCCCAAGCAGCTGCTGGTAGTGCGAGAACCTGAACTTTTTGATTCTTCAAAGGACATGCGAAACAACCAAACCAAAGTCAACCATTAAGGCTGTGGTGGCCACCGCCTCACCACCACAGTCTCCTTCACCTCCAGCGTGGCCAACAAAGACTGCCGTTTTGGCTGGGGCCCTGGAACAAGCCCAAGATATTGCGAACGCCCTCACCGCCTCGTTTGCTTAGGATCATCTTCTTGTGGTAAGCAAGAGCATGAGCCGTTGGCGATATTCACAGTAACCGGCTGGCCACTGAACCGTAGGATTCACGCTCGGCGTCCTTGGCATCTGTAGCCTGCGTTGTCGCTGGCATTCGCGCCCAAGGTCGAAGAGCCCAGAGGCCCCGTTACCAATGCGAGGGTATAGCAGAGCTGGCCTACAAAGACAACATGAAGTCGCCGATCGAACGGCGAAGCGGCTGCAGCGCGGTTTCGAAAGCCCGGGGCCCAAACATGAGTCCAACGGTCCAACATGTTCAAAGGCAAGCGCACAGCGTGAACTTCTCATATAAAGTTACATTGTTACAGCAGTGGCACATCCAACATGGGTGCATCGCATTGTGACCCCGCATTAAAACAAGCAGGGCTTAGGGCAAAACATGCAAAAAACAACACATGCGCGCAGTCCCAGCAACTTGTCCAGCTTGCCCAAAGTTTCCGTGCGTATGCTCTTGAATCGTTGCCTCAGGGGAACGTGCATTATTCCGCAGCAAATCGGTACTGATCATCACAATACAAAACTCAACTGTCTTACAACCCCGCGCAACTGATGGCTTGGGCGTCATACACTGCACAGCGGGCGCAATCGGGAAAAGATCGAAAAGGGTGCAGCGCATGTCTCGTCCCAGCCTCAACTAAGCAATTGCCCCAGCCACCTGCAAGGAAGCCTGCCTGGCTGAAAGGCATGTGAAACACGCTGGAAGGGCCTTCATCTGGGTGCCCTAGCCTATCCTCCGTCTTGATTGGTTTCCGTTCAGGGTCAGCATATCAAGACCGAGCCATTAATGCCGCAAACCAGGAATTTGAGCGGCACCAAACGGTACAGTCGACTTGCTGATCTGAAGAACTGAACTTATGCTCAAAACGCACAGGGTGCATGCGTGTTTGCTGCCTAAACTGCATGGGGATGTTGGCAGGGAGCCGCGGATGGACAAACAGCTGTTGTTCGTCCACCCTGCCAGGCGCTGTTTGGAGCCACCCATAAATCCGGATAGGCGACAATACTGGTAACATTGGTGGTTGTTTCCTGGTGGGGATGGCGCATGGCCGAAATTCCTAAATTTCACTTCAGTGAACAGGCCTTAGTGAGTGCACATGTGTGCAACCAAGGGTTCCCGGTCAAATTTGCCGGTTCTCAGCTCTCGTGCCCCTTGCATTTGTCAAAACATCAAGAAACCAAATAGCCAGCGGTGATAACCAAGTGCTGGTGGCATAAACCAATGATGGGCTGCATTTGGTTGTCTGGGGATGTTGGCAGGGAATCGCGAACGCAAAGATAAAATACCGCAACAAAAGAACCTTTGCAAGCATGGTAGCCAAAATCCAAACATGGCAATGAAACCCAAGCAACTAGAATCTCAGGCACACTGTAGCTTCTATCTGCATGTCAATGTGGCCTCTAATCACCCCTTTGACAATATGCAGTGTCATGTGTGTCCAGCCCTAAATCCCTGTCCTGGGGTCATATCAACCTACTTTTGCAGCTAAATTTCAATGCCTGCAGGGGTTGAGTTGGATCCTTCTTGTGTGTTCCGCTCTCTGGCTGGTTTGGCAGTGTTGTATTGTGACTTGGTTCGATAAGAGTCAAAAGATTGAGTTGAGGGCAGCTACAAATGGACAAAATTGGATATTTGGGGGTTGTTCAAAAGTCCTTTCATTTTTTCAGGCCTTTCGCAGGACCTTCGCGAAGCTTTCGCAAGCTTTCGCGCGTGGGGTTTTACCACTGTCGGCGAAAATGGTTTTTCGTTGGGGCTAGAGGCTTTCAAGGATTCATGCAGTTGCCCTGGCACGTCTTGTGTCCTCTGATCACTGACACATTGATTGCTGAGGAACAGGAAGCCAGCCAACCAAGACATTTTCATGTTGGTGTGTTTTTGGTTGGGCGCAACCCTCCATGAACAAGAGACGGCTCAGTCAGGCCAGTTTGCTCAGACTTCCAATTTGCTTTGTTCCGGGCCGGGAAAAAGCAAAATGGTTCAGACTTCGAATTTGCTTTTTCCCGGGCCGGGAAAAAGCAAAATGGTTCAGACTTCCATTTTGCTTTTTCCGGGCCAGGAAAAAGCAAAATGGTTCAGACTTCCAATTTGCTTTTTCCCGGGCCGGGAAAAAGC